TTTGATATGTACCATGATAGCATCAAGGTAAAATCTTTCAGTACTATCAAAGTGCCACATTATTACCATGGCTTTTTAATATCATGGCTTTTGTTTTACAAGTAAAATTTGTAAAAAAGTACAAGCGCATTACCATCTGATATCACCACTGTACCATGACACCACTACAGTACTTCTTTGTAAGAGATGCCCCACAGCCCTCAACACAAAAACACACACAGTCTGTTCCATAAACATTCCCCCACTGGAAACACACAACCACACGCGTGCAAACAGACACATGCAAATCCACAAGCCGCGCGTGCACACAAACACGAGGGACACAATGAAAAGCATTCAAATCTGCTCCCTGGACTAAGAGTCAGCCAGCACTGTGGGAACGCTTCCTCTGGACACCAAACCAGAGGAAAGAGAAAGACAAACGATAGCCGTGACGCACAACTCTGGGAGGAGAAGATCCAGCCATCCTCTAATCACCTTATCTGATCGCTCACAGCAGCTGAGAAAACAAGAGCCACGGGTTCAGGTGAAAATACTTCTCTTTCCAACCCACACAAGCAAACTATCCTCAAGAGCAGGACCCGGGCGCCGCTCCTATGACCCCACCGCTGCATTCGGGGTCTCGAACCCGCCCCCTTGAGCTCAGAAAGTATTTAAAGTGTGGAAATCCCAGGTTTAGAAACATCACAGGCAGCTGTAACATCCAACACAAAGAAAAGACTGTATCCCTGCTGAGTAGCCTTGCCAGGGTGGATCAAACCTCAATTAGAGGATCAAACCTCTATTAGAGGAATAAAAGAAAACGGGGAATGCCAGAAAGCGGGAGCTAGAAAGAAAGAGTGCACATGAGGTAACCCAAACAGCCTAAAGCAAGAAGGGAAGAAATTAAAAATCACAGGATAGTTTCCTCACACAAGTAGACACACATCAAGTTCTTCAATACGCTCAAACACACACAAACGCATGCCGTTTACACCGACCCGGTTGCGATGGTCTCCCCGGCAGAACTCCCCTGTTGTTGCCCGTTCAGGGAAAAAAACGCTGGAATAAAGGACGAAAGGAGCTCTCCTCTTTGTGAGAAGAAGCGCACACTAGTTCTTTCTCTTTTCTCTGTGTCTCCCTGATGAGGAAGGAGAAAAGAAGCTTCTCCCCAGAGATGTAACCCCCCC